ATCTACACTCCTTGACCCTATATGAATACAATGACTGCATTCGATCGTCAATTTAAAATATTTTACACTAGTGGATACCACAAATCTTATGTTGTATTTAATGAAAGTATATATAAACTCTTAATTGTTAGTGAATATATTTTTTTGATGGCATACGCATTCTACGAAACTGGTTTCAACAATCCAACTGTCAAACTTGTTTGTTTACACTTCAAGATCATATACGCCAAAAATCGGAAAAAATAAACATTCAGAGATCAAGTAATAGGACAAAACTTTTCGACGGTTATAAACGAAAAATCACGATTTAACGGTTATTTCAACTCTGATTTTGATGATTTTTTTATAGCTACACTCCTTGACCCTATATGAATACAATGAATGAATTTGATCTTCACTTTAAAATATTTACACTAGTGGATACCACAAAGTCTTATGTTATATTTAATAAAAGTATAAATAAACTCTTGATTGTTAGTGAATATATTGTTTTGATGGCATATGCATTCTACGAAACTAGTTTCAATGATCCAACAACTCTTAATTGTTAGTGAATATATTGTTTTGATGGCATATGTATTCTATGAAACTAGTTTCAACGATCCAACTGTCAAATTTGTTTGTTTATACTTCGAGATCATATACCCCAAAAATAAGAAAAAATAAACATTCCGAGATTACGTAATGGGACAAAACTTTTCGATGGTTATAAACAAAAATCATGATTTAACGGTTATTTTAACTCCGATTTTGATGATTTATTTACAGCTACACTCCTTGACCCTATATGAATACAATGACTCAATTTGATCTTCAATTTAAAATATTTACACTAGTGGATACCACAAAATCTTATCTTGTATTTAATGAAAGTATAAATAAACTCTTAATTGTTAGTGAATATATTATTTTGATGGCATACGCATTCTACGAAATTAGTTTCAACGATCCAACCGTCAAACTTGTTTGTTTATACTTCGAGATCATATATGCCAAAAATCGGAAAAAATAAACACTCAGAGATCAAGTAATAGGACAAAACTTTTCGACGGTTATAAACAAAAAATCACGATTTAACGGTTATTTCAATTTCGATTTTAATGATTTTTTACAGCTACAGTCCTTCACCCTATATGAATACAATGAACCAATTCGATCGTCAATTTAAAATATATATTTTCTAACAAAAACCCAATCCGAACTAGAATAATATATTTTTCTAACAAAATAATTTATTTATTTTATTTATTTTTGTAAAGACTTTGCGAGACGAAGATTATTATTTCGTCGCGCAAAGTCATCCAAAAAATTTTAAAAATAATTTTTTATTTTATTTATTTTTGTAAACACTTTGAGAGACGAACGAGAATTCGTCGCGCAAGACTTTGTGCACCGAATTTTTGTCTTTCGTCGCGCAAAGTCATGCATAGATTTTAAAAAATAAATTTTTATTTAATTTATTTTTGAAAATACTTTACGAGACGAACTACACTTCGTCTCCCTCATTGTAATTTAGATTTTATTAAAATAGAATATCGCTTGTATATAAAAAATAAAAACTGTGGAGAAAACGTATTACAATATATCACCAACTCATCCATAAAGATTTGAGTAGGGTACCAAAAAGGTAGTATTAGAATGGGTGACCTCCTCGGAAGATGCTTGGTGCATTGAGCTAGAGTTGATGGGCTGTGACCAGCTGTTAGAATTGGATTGGTGTGGGATACTGATGTAGATGTTGACAGTGGAATCATTGTGACATGAAGTTTTTCTATGTTGTCACATTCACTCTTACGTTCGTTTCTTCTTTTCTTTTTCTTTCAATAATTGTAAAATTTTGTGTGGCCAGATCCTAAACATGGTTCACCAATTTCATTATTGTTCATTTTCCAACCCCCCACCCATTCCAATCTTTTGTAGTTCATATATATGACTGTATGTGCAGATATCTTATGTGGGAAAAGACCAACAATAATTTATATATTCTGAGAGGAATATCAAAATGTGGTCTAATTCAAGACCCAAACTTGTATGAGCCACCATTTATAAATAATTAAAAAAATAAAAATTATATATTAAGCAATTATACTTCAATTCTTGTACAAATCTGCTGCTATTTGGTGATTCACTATATAACAGAGCTACAAGAAGATAATGAAAAGTATAAGACAAGGATGGATAAGGTTTTAAAGTATATGCCAAGGGGATTATGGGAAATGGGATGGTCATATCCAAATTCATTTGAAAATATTAATTGCTCAGCTATTGGGTCATCTAATAAATCCTTTAGAATCATGCTCGAGCATACTCTAGCACACTCTCATATTATAGACTCTAATCCACCGTAGAATACATGAATAAGATTACAAAAAATCATGACCATTGAAAAGGCATAATCAAGGCAAACCAATACCGTTCAAACCGTCAATAGAGTAAACAATCCCAAATACCGTTGAAAAATCATGAATAAGATTATGAAATCATGACCATTGAAAAATCATGACCGTTGAATATTCAAGGCATATTCAAGGCTCAACCCGTTAGATTGGTGGACGTGTTTGAGACGAAAGAAGATATATAATTGTTGCTTTCAGCTGCTCAACAACCCCAAATACCGACATAAGCCTCTGGCCTTAGCTGCCAAGAAATGGTTGGTTAATTTCATAAAATATCAAAGTATTCTCTTTCATAAAACCCAAAACAAAAATCACAAGTCTTTCAGTTTTACACAACAATTCTCATTTCTCATCTTCGATGGACCCAAAATCCTCATGTTTCCCTCTTTTCGGCCGGGTAGGCCGATTGAAGGAGTTTTTGGTCCTTCTTTTTTGAGTGCGGGGCGTGCCACCACCAAGCCCCGAAATTGGGCTTGAATGGAATGTGAGTAGTGCGGGGCATCCCCCTACTCTCCTCTCTACCACAACCACGCCGTTTTGCTAACATCCGAAGCAAACGTCGTCGTTTTGTCTGTGCACTATAGGCGGGCCCCTAAGCACCCACTCCCTGTTGCGTATGAAGATTCATGGGAAGCACTCCAATGGGCTGCGGCCCATTCTAATTGTAATGGGCCCGAAACCTGGCTCAACGATTATGTTGACTTTGACCGTGTTTTCGTGGGCGGGGACAATGCCGGGGCCACCCTTATGAACCATGTGGTACATCAGGCCGGAGTCCATGGGCTGAGTGGGGCGAAGATAGTTGGGATAATTTTGTTTCACCCGTATTTTGGGAACGAAAAGCCCAAAAAGCTGCTTTAGGTTATTTTTCCGGCGTGTGGTGGGTTGAATGACCTGAGAGTGAACCCGGGCAAGGATCCGAAATTGGGGGAGATTGGGTGTGGGAGGGTGTTGGTTTTTGTGGCTGAGAAGGACTTTTTCAGGGACAGGGCTTGGGCTTACTATGAAGCATTGAAAAAGAGTGGGTGGGATGGGGTGGTTGAGATTGTGGAGAGTGAAGGGGAGGAACATGTGTTCCATTTGTTCAACCCAAGTTGTGACAAGGCTGTGGAGATGGTAAAAAAGGTGGTTTCTTTCATAAATCAGGACTAGGGGTTGGGCTTGGGTGTGTTTTGAAATTTCTATGTCATCTAAAGATTTGTCGTTGTAATAGAATACGAGCATATTTGCAAAGCTGAATTAGTAGCGCCTTGATTTTTATTTGCTGGGAAAACATCAATTTCACAACTTTGAGTCCTATATGTTTTAACTAGCAAAAGATGCCCGCGCGATGCTGCGGGTTTTAAAATTGCGTAAAATATGTATAAAGCGATGAAAATAGACAGGGAACATATCAACTACCCAATTGCCAAAATACTCAAAGGATTTACCAACATGTTCAAATATTGTAATCATCTGAACCTATCATTACAACAACAAATTAACACCAACCAATTGTCAATTGATGCCATTAGCGAATTCCTATGCTCTATTCACAAAACTTAAAACAATTAATTGAAATTTCACTCTAGAAACTCACCCCTTGCTTAACAGAACTGAAAACACCGACCAAACCGCTCTATCCAAAGCAACGAAAGACCACCTGCAAAATATCAAAAGAAAACATGGTTTTTTTATAATTTTAAAAAAAAAAAAGGAAGAAAAAACAGAAAAATCGGAGAAGAAATTAGCTTGAGTATTTTATGCATGCACAATCTTTTCATTAAACCAAAAAATTAGCTTGACCAAAATCTGTATGGAAAAAAACCACAAGGAAAATGTATGTAATTGAGTTCCTTAAGTCTCCATTCAACGCAAAAATCAGCAAAAATCTGCTTGGTAAATCAAACCCACATGAAGTTGGATTTTCAAATCCCACATATTTCCCAAACCAGTCTTCTTCAAGTTATCATAAAGTTCTAATTCATCAAAATTATCTATCAGCCTCAGCATGTAGAATGCAAGACAGCGGTCTGCTTATATACCAAAAAACAAATAGGCACACAAACACATATATTACAACTAAAATTATTACAGTTGGTTCATTAGGCACAAATAACTTGAGTTTAATTAATTAGCACCACAATAAATAAGTCAATAATCCGAAGCCACCATAATACCAGGTTCACATGATGCCTTAAATCTAAACCTAAAAATTGGTTAGAATATTAAACCAAGTTAATATCATCAAGAAAAAAGTAAGCAACATACATGAGAAGCTCTATTTGAAAATTGGAATCATGAATCTGTGAACGCTCGACAAACTTATAATTTGGTGTGAAAAGTTGTATGAAAGTACAAACTGTCTAATTGTAAGAAAAAGAATGATGCTGGAAATCTTAAAGCAATGATCTTGAAGTTCCTCTAATTGGGAATTAGTGATGCAAACACAAAGTAATATTATATTCCTCCCTCAAAGCCATTTTCATCAAATAAATGCTGATTTTATCAAGAGTGTTTAACTGGGTTTTCAATAAATAAATAAATAAAAGTTCAACGCAAGATGATGAGCATTGTAGATTTTTAAAGTAAATCATGAACTAACCACCTTGAATTAAAAATGAATGTTGTTTTAGGAAATGTATTAGTTGACTTTAAAATTGGAGTAGAAAATACATCAGCAAAATTCATTCTAGTTGAATTTAATTGTTTGCAAGTGAAGAAGCTGTGATAACTAAACTGAAATAATATGAATAATAAAGAGATTTTCTTACCATTTGATCAACCAATATACACTGTAAACCACCGAATTGATCATCATATCCAATAAGTTTTGGTCTCCACATTCTGCATACACGGACTTTAATCTTCTTGTTAAATTGAAACGGATGTAAATCATGGATGTGAACGAAACTCATTGTATCATAAAGCTGAAAATAAAATATATATTTTGTTAGTATAAAAATGTACACATCTATGTATGAAAATTAATATAAAAAAATATAAAAATGTATACATCTATAACAATATCTCTATTTGAATAAAAAAGCCCTATATCTCCCACAATCAAACCATCAATTTCATCACATGTTGGCTTTTCGTATTGTTTATTATCATTGGGCTGCCTACCCAATAATGTGATTTTCAAAGTTATTTCTGACTGTTCTAAAAAGTTTGATTACATTAGTTCTTGGCTATTTCTTGTGGAAGAAATACTTGGGAATGGAAGGTATAGTGCTACCACCCTTGTCTTTCTCTTTCTCTTTCTCTTTCTCACTCACACAAACACATATATTCTAGTGTTCCAAACAACCGATGCTCTAATAATAAGAATGAAACAGGGAGCATGGAAGGCAGTATGAGTGAGACTATAAGTAAAGCGAGAGTTGAAGCTGCGAAAAATAATGCAGAACCACCACTCTTCAATTTAAAAAGAGTTTTAGCTGCAACAAACAACTTCAATGTAGCAAATAAACTGGGAGAGGGAGGATTTGGCCATGTTTATAACGTGACACTTTCTAAACTGCTTGATAAATACTTATGTACAGTTTATCTAATATATGATAACTTGGACAGGCCAAAGACATAACAGATTTAGTTTCCTTGAAGGAGGCAGCAAAAATCTTCATTCCAGGTATATTGTAGCATGATTTCTGTTTTCTCAGCCTCTCTGATTCTGTAAACCAAAAACTTCAATATATAACTTTAATTTTCTGTAAGAGTTGATCTAAATTTACATTCTCTTTGTCTTAACAACTCAATCAAACATTTTTTGGAAGCAACCAAATCAGAGGATCTATTCCCATGGGATAAGGAAACAGATATGAGTGTTAGCGGTGGTCTACTTTCTAATTTGATAGCCAAATTATTTTCTCTATTTAAGTGATACAACAGCCAAGTGGGAAGAGAAGTAGCTTGTAATGAATTAAATAAAGTGGTGGTTCGATCTGTATAACCAATAAATCAAACTTAGTTGTGATTTTCAATTATGTGCAGGTGTCAGAGTAGGGTTATTGATTCTATTGGGGGCAATTCTTTTGAACATAAATCAAACACAACCCAAAACAATAAAATAAAATAAAAAAGATGAAAAACAATCACTATATCAATCAACAAAAACAATTAAAAAGGAAGATCAAAAGAGAATTTCAGTCCCAAAGGATGTTGACTTAAAGCGAATTTCAGATTTTTACTTAATATTTAGACCTCTTTATCAGTCCCAAATGATGTTGAAAGAATAAATATAAACAACAATTGAAATATTCATCAATTTTAATCTTCTTTTTTCTTTTTTCAAAACCTGGCTAAACAATCAAAAGTCAGCTTGTAATGAATTAAATAAAGTGGTGGTTCAAACTGTATAACCAATAAAGTGGTGGTTCGATCTGTATAACCAATAAATCAAACTTAGTTGTGATTTTCAATTATGTGCAGGTGTCAGAGTAGGGTTATTGATTCTACTGGGGGCAATTCTTTTTAACATAAATCAAACACAACCCAAAACAATAAAATAAAATAAAAAAGATGAAAAACAATCACTATATCAATCAACAAAAACAATTAAAAAGGAAGATCAAAAGAGAATTTCAGTCCCAAAGGATGTTGACTTAAAGCGAATTTCAGATTTTTACTTAATATTTAGACCTCTTTATCAATCCCAAATGATGTTGAAAGAAGCTGTCAGCCTACTCCCAATCGGCTCAAATAATAAATATAACCAACAATTGAAATATTCATCAATTTTAATCTTCTTTTTTTTTTCTTTTCAAAACCTAGCTAAACAATCAAAAGTCACCCTAAACAATTAAAATCACAAAAGAACTATATTTACATGATTGTTGTCATCAAAGATTTGAAAATTCTCAGCTAAACTCCAAAAATTTCAATTCTCAAAATATGTCTGTTAATTGATGAAATAAAGACTAAAAGATGCGCTAAAAAGGTGAGGTGATGCATACCCGAAGACAAAGGATGCAAGAATTCGCAGCCAAGAGAGATAGAAGATGCCTGAAGGTTGTAAAAGAATCTGTGAAAAATATCACAACGAACAGACAATTTCATAAACCGTAAGAGCCGTTGGATTCGCAGCTCGCCTCCCCAGAAGAAAATCAACGGCCTCCAAAGCATCTCCAAGAGAGAACAGAAATCTTCCATCACTGCCCCCCAACCAGCTAGTTCGAAATCAACGATGAACTCCTGCTGCTGAGTGAACGCATCGTTCGTTGGGGAAGAAAGGCTGAAGGAGAAGGGGCAAAAAGGAAGAGCAGAAAAGATTAAGTGGAGGGCATATTCGGAAATTCACTGTGAGGAAGAGAAAACAAAGCATGTAACAACAGTAAAATGAGGGGCAAAACCATCACTTCACTATTCATAATCTACAGTCTAGGAACAATGAAATCATGGATTCAGTTTTAGTATATTATAATTTCTGGCTAAACTGCATGCACGTCAAAATTTTGCTGGGCATGACAAACACAATCTTTTAAGCTGCAAAGTTACAAAGACATTACAAGTTCGTAGTCCAGCTCAAGGGTCAACAGCGATGGCTTCCAATTCCGTCTCACTGGTTGTACTGCCCCTCGCATTCCGAATTAATTTTGAAACAACTAAACACACAAGAAAGAGGACAGGCAAAATGTTTACTTTGAAAGGATTGTCCTTATGCCGAAGCACGCACGCAAGCTGAACCATGGAGGAAGCCCACTGAGTGATTGCATAAATTAATCCACAAACCTCAGGGAAAGTACCAAAAAGGGTGCCTGAACATGGACAATAAAACCACCACAGAAATTTTCCGCACTTGCCAAATTGAACTTTTCCTCTGCCTTTGTGAATGAATTCCCAGATGCAAGTGGCTAGAGCCATAATAGCCAGCCCCATACCAAAGAGTGCATAGAGGGGCTTTCTTGGGGAGGAAAGCTGATCACATATAGCTGAAAAGATCTCTAGCATCAGGCTAACGATTAAAAACATCCACTCCGCTGTAAATACCTACAAAAGAAATTAGTAGTTCAATTAAAGTTTAAGAGATATATCTTGCAAGAAAAAATTATCAGCAACTGATCGAGAGGTGCTTAGAAAATTTAAGAGATATATTTAGCACTAGATCATATCCATCTGGTTGCTCAGGCAAACTTTCTTGGCGTTGAATTCCAATTGTTCCCTGGTATGAAAAAGTTAGCAACTAAGCTATTAACAAATGCAAGTTCCTTATCAAATAAAATGAAAGTGCTTTCAGGTAACTGCAAGGCAAACTCATTTGTTTCTTGGCAACATATTGAAAAGCAATTGCATTAATAAATTAATATAAAAATAGGTAAAAGAATATGGTTGTCAAATTGAATAAGACATTCATGTGTGTGTATATACATATGTATTGACAGGACCCAACCCAAATTCCTTCCCGACATTCATGTGCCCCTCAGGCATGCCTAGAGGGAGAGGCTCATTCATACAATCACTCATAAATATTCACTACCACAAGTTCACTAACTTAAGCATCGGAGAGGGTTTGGCCGGTACCACACCGGTGCCCTTCACGGTGGTCCTCTGTTTCTTGTGTGCAGGTGGACCCGTACTATAAAGGAGGTCTCAGCCCTGCTGAAGCCTCATTGTTGGCTGTGCTAAAAACACATACAACATAACCAATAATTATAAATCTAAAATCTCAAGTCATTATGTATATAATAAAAAAAATACAATCTCCAGATACAATGAAAATATTACAAATTCAAGTAGCCAAATAAATAGACTCCAAAATAGTATATATTAGTCTTGTACTTGGCCTAATTCTTTACCCCAACTTGAAAAACAATCACAAAGCTATAAATAAAATGAATGGGAAACATAAAGCAATGTGTTAATATGAAAACAATTACAAAGTCATCATTGTAAACAAAAAAAGAACAAACCTGCAACATAATTAACTTGAATAACATAAAGTAATATGCCAATTTGGGGTAGAGATTTGTTCTTTTCTTTTTTCTTTTTTTACTTTTTTGGATTGTATAACGATCATCAATCTTATAGGCTTTGAATATCCAACAAAAAGTGCAAAGAAAGCAACCAAAAGTTGAGACCAGCTTCAACCATTATCTCCAAGGCCATGTACAATTGCCACTCAGGCATTCTGTTTTCGCAACTTGACATGGCTGAAGAATAACAACAATAGAAATAGAAAGAAAAGAAAACTGAACTGCAATTCACTACAGAAAGAAAAGAAAAAGACTAGGACTTTCCCTCGTCACTCTTGTCTTCAATTCTGCCCCATGCCTTAAGTCAAGCTCATACTTCCTTTATTTTGCGACAACATAGCCGACTTATGTTGCCAATTGACAAACATGCACTATGTAATTGTTAATCCTTTTTTTAAATTTTTTTTTTTATAAAGAAACAAATATGTTAAAACAATTAAATTTAGTGCTTTTAACCATTCTAATCACACAAAACCTAAGGAAAATATTATTAAAAATATATATAAATATTAACATATCAATTAACTTTTACTTTCATTGCAAGTGTTAATATCTTAGTCACAAGTAAATAACAAACATTGATGAACATGCGGTAATTGAAATGCAATTGAATTTACAAAATCCAATTGGCAGACAGAAAGCAGGTAATTGAATATATGAAATCTAATTTCTCTGGGCATATATGAAGCAAATCCTACAAAATTCTCACCCAATAACAAAGATTTTTCTTTTTCGATAACAAAAATATCAGATTAGCAGAAAGTCAACACCTTTTTTTCTTTTCAAAACCATGTATACAAACAGCAAGCTAAAAAAACCTTAGCAAAACATTAAGAAATAATTTTCTTTTCTTCTTTTGGTGTAAACCAAATATTTCATAATTGAAAAATACATAAGAAATCTTACTTTTTTGTCATTACATAAGCAATTGATTTTTGTGCAGGTTTGAAGCTTGACGAAGGAGATTTTCTGATGCCAAGGAGGGATTTCCCTATCTAGGACTTAATTTATGCCAATCCATTGTTTACCAAGGCAAAAATTTACGAATGGAATGAGTGTGATGAGCTCTGGGCTGTCTTGCTCAACACAGTTAATACATTCTTCACTGAAATGGGGTTGTCTTGCTAAACTCAGATGGGGTTCTCTTGCTTTCATTCAAGTACTCAATCCTAATTTGAGGATTTTAAAGTGAGGTTGATCATAAGCTCACTAACCCTAACCCCAAATCAATTGATTAAAAGTTAGCTCCAAAACTGAAGAACCCTAAATTGACCCATAGAAGCATAACTAGAGAGAAAGAGGAAGGAAAAGACTCACCTGATGACAGATCGATTTCCAGAGCACAGAGAATGATGAAGCGAATAGATAGAGACGGAGAGTGAGAGCAAGAGGGAGCGAGAGCGAGAGAGTGACTTCAAGATCGACAAATTGATATCCAATAGTTGCCGTTGTTCGAACCAAGAAGCCCAACTGAAGAAGAGAGAGCAACAATGGAACAAAGACTGACAGCGCCAAGAAGAAGAAGAGATAGGGGAGTCGCAGGAGTCTCTGAGCATTCTTGCTTTCGTTTTGTTATTGTTTCAGATTTCTTTATTTTCTATTGTTTTTGTTTTGGTTTTCTTTTACCTGGAGCAACCCATTTAACCGGTCACTTACTATCAACGGTGTAGATTACCCCACATCCCACAATAGCTTATCCAATGGTCTATAATAATGGCGCATCCATGCGCAGGGCGCACCGTAGAATTTTCCCTGCAGGTCTTTCATCATTCCTATTTTTTGCATCAAAAGAATAGAAAACAGAAAGTTTCATGTTCCTTTACTTAAAAAGTACTCCTACTTTGTATATTTTTATCATTTTTATTTGCCACATTGATCTAATCTACTCCACTCTCTCTCTCTTATGAGACAAATTTGTGTTTAATATATAATTAACCAAACTTGATATTAGAACAACTCATTTAATAAACACTAATGAAGGTCAGCTCTTAGGCCATCCCCAATGGGGGCTCTATATGGGGCTCAACCACCACAAAGCTCCAATATATACAAACCCTCTTTAAAAAGGCATCCCCAATGGTGCAAATTTGGGGCTCTAAAACTTAAAGCCCAGCCGGAGTAGTAGCTAAATGTATGACCTTGGTTGAAGCCCCTGAAACTGAGTGGGACCCACCAATTGAAAAAGCTGCAGCCCACTTTTGTGTTATTTCTCACTTGCCTGCGACTGTACAAGGCATACTTGCCTTCAATTTGATTGTTGATTTGCTGCTGGCCCACGTTCTTTGCATGTTGGCCCATATAAAACAACTTTGCAAAGTTGATTGTTGATTTGCATGCTGGCCCACGTTCTTTGCAAGGGATCCATATCCAACTTTGGGATGACCATTGTATCTATGAAATAAATGTTGATTTCCAAATCTTGTCCAAATTTTGATTTTTTTTGGTTGAAATGTTCACAAAAAAAAAAACTAACATAACATGAATAAACATTAAAGTAAAATAGTTAACAAAAAAAAAAAACCATGTAAATCAAATTACATCATAAAAAAAATATAGAGCCTGTCATGAATATAGAGCCCCCCCATTGTGGGAGAGATTCCTTTAGAGCCCCAAAGATTCCATCGGAGCTCTAAATGGGGCTCTATAAACCCTTTTTAGAGCCCCAACCATTGGGGATGGCCTTACGACTCTCCTTTGGGTGTCCTCTTTGCTGACTGCGGGGCCCTCTTATCCCATTTCCTTTCGGCCACTGTGGCCCATGTTCCAAAAACTTGTGATAGAGTGGCCAGTAGGCTCTCTCATTTTGCTTACTTTAAGTGTGAATCAGGATTGGCTTGACGAACCCCCTGACTTACTTCAAGATCTCCTCCTCTATGAGGATTGTAACCCTGTTTTACCTTTGGATCATAGATTTTTTTCAGTCCCATGACTTTCCCCTACACCTCCACCGACCCTCCCGCTCACGAGTCACGAGTCAGGAGACACGACTGCTCATGTCTACTACGTACAGCATAGGCTTTCCTCAAACCATCCCTCATATTTATTTCAAAAAGACCATGTTGACTCACAATTAATTAGTCTCTGTCTATGCATTATGTCCAAGGTTCTCATCCATATGTGATGTACCTTCACTTCTTTATTTAATCTTGACATGGCCAAACGAATGAGAATTAGGATAATCAACATGCCATATATAGCAAACATATTGTACTAAACTGTAGAGAAAACGTCAGACATTGACTTGGTCAAGTTAGCTAAATCATATATGTTCTCACTCAGCACCCAAGTTCTAATCTTCCTCGTCATAGTTTAGATTATATTAAAATAGAATATCGCTTATATATAAATAAAAATAAAAACTATGGAGAAAAATTATTACAATATATCACCAACTCATCCATAAATATTTGAGAGTACTAAAAAGGTATTGCTAGAAGGGGTGACATCCTCGGAAGATACGTGGTGCATTGAATTGGAGTTGATGGGTTGTGGCCAGCTATCAGAATTGGATTAGTTTGGGATACTGATGTGGATGCTGACAGTGAAATCACTGTGACATGGAAGTTTTTCTATGTTGTCAAATTCACTCTTACGTTGGTTTCTTCTTTTCTTTTTCTTTCAATAATTGTAAAATTTTGTGTGGCAAGATCCTAAACATGCTTCACCAATTTCATAATTGTTCATTTTCCAAAACCCCCACCCATGCCAATCTTTTGTAGTTCATATATATGACTGTATCTGCAGATATCTTATAGGGAAAAGACCCACAAGAATTTATTCTGAGAGGCTGGAATATCAAAATGTGGTCTAATTCAAGATCCCAACTTGTATGAGCCACCATTTATAATAAAAAATATATATATATATATAATAAATAAAAATGATATATTAAGCAATTATACTTCAATTCTTGTACAAATCTGCTGCCATTTGATGATTCACTATATAACAGAGCTACAAGAAGATAATGAAAAGTATAAGACAAGGATGGATAAGGTTTTAAATGATACCACCCATGGGATGGTCAAATCCAAATTCATTTGAAAATATTAATTGTTCAGCTATTGGGTCATCTAATAAATCCTTTAGAATCATGCTCAAGCATACTCCAGCACACTCTCATATTATGGACTCTAATCCACCGTAGAATACATGAATAAGATTACAAAAAATCATGACCATTGAAAAGGCATATTCAAGTGCGAAAAATCATGACCATTGAAATGGACCATGTATTCCATTTGTTCAACCCAAGTTGTGACAAGGCTATGGAGATGGTCAAAAAGGTGGTTTCTTTCATAAATCAGGACTAGGTTGGGCTTAGGCTTGGGTGTGTTTTGAAATTTCAATGTCATCTTAAGATTTGTCATTATAAAAGAATATGAGCATATTTGCAAAGCTGAATTAGTAGCGCCTTGAGTTTTATTTGCTGGGAAAACATCAATTTCACAATTTTGAGTCGTATATATTTTAATTTTTGGCTAAACTGCATGCATGTCAAAATTTTGCTGGGCATGACAAACACAATCTTTTAAGCTGCAAAGTTACAAAGCCATTGCAAGTTCGTAGTCCAGCTCAAGGGTCAACAGCAATGGATTCCAATTCCGTCTCACTGGTCTCCTCTCTTGTTCTGCCCCTTGCATTCCGAATTAATTTTGAAACAACCAAACACACAAGAAAGAGGACAGGCAAAATGTTTACTTTGAAAGGATTGTCCTTATGCCGAAGCACGCACACAAGCTGAACCATGGAGGAAGCCCACTGAGTGATTGCATAAATTAATCCACAAATCTCAGGGAAAGTACCAAAAAGGGTGCCTGAACATGGACAATAAAACCACCACAGAAATTTTCCGCACTTGCCAAATTCAACTTTTCCTCTTCTGCCTTTGTGAATGAATTCCCAGATGCAAGTGGCTAGAGCCATAATAGCCAGCCCCATACCAAAGAGTGCATAGAGGGGCTTTCTTGGGGAGGAAAGCTGATCACATATAGCTGAAAAGATCTCTAGCATCAGGCTAACGATTAAAAACATCCACTCCGCTGAAAATGCCTACAAAAGAAATTAGTAGTTCAATTAAAGTTTAAGAGATATATCTTGCAAGAAAAAATTATAAGCAACTGATCGAGAGGTGCTTAGAAAATTTAAGAGATATATCTTGCAAGAAGAGTTTGCACCTTATTTAAGGAGCTTTTAGCACTAGACCATATCCCATCTGGTTGCTCAGGCAAACTTTCCTGGCGTTGAATTCCAATTGTTCCCTGGTATGAAAAAGCTAGCAACTAAGCTATTAACAAATGCAAGTTCCTTATCAAATAAAATGAAAGTGCTTTCAGGTAACTGCAAGGCAAACTCATTTGTTTCTTGGCAACATATTGAAAAGCAATTGCATTAATAAATTAATATAAAAATAGGTAAAAGAATATGGTTGTCAAATTGAATAAGGCGTTTCAAGGCTTCCAACTTCGTTTAGTCCCTATTTTATGGAAAAACAATTGTGAGAAAACTTAATATATACAACTCACAGTCACATCGTCAATACTGGAGAATTAATATAAACAACTCACATCTTCTTCATTTTCAAGTAACTTTTCAGCTTCATTTAATCTCTATTGTTTGAAAAAGAAATTGCATTAACAAACTAATATATAAAAGAGGAAAAAAGGTTTCGCCAGTCAAATTGATAAGACAATACATGTTGTGCGTACCGTGCTTTGCAAGTCACGCTCCTTTTTAGTTATTTTGAGGATTTCATGAATATTTGAGTGCCATTCATCTATACTTTTCCTATATAAAATTGAACCCATAGTTGTGAGGGCTAATGGATTCCCTTGAGCATAGCCTACGACTCTACTTGCGAGTTCTAGATAATCATTCGGAATTCTACTTGTTGGGAAGGCTTTAGAATTAGAGGTGTCAAACGGGATGGGCCGGCCCAGCACGACACGAGCCCATCCCGTTTAAATGAGGCACGGCACGATACGAGCCCAGCCCGTTTAAATGAGACACGGCATGATACGAGCACGAATATTAATGGGCCATGCTCAGTTCGGCACGAAAACTTAGGCCGAATTGGGATTAAAAAAAATAGGTCCAATGGAGGCCGGCCCATAGCCCGACATGGGCCGGGCTTGGCCCGAGCCGCTTCAAACACGGCCCAAGCCCGGCCCATTTAGCTTTTTTTTTTCCTTCTCAAAAAGTCAAAATGCAATAATTTGACATCTAATGTCATTGTTTATATGTTTTTATTTTAATCATAAACATATATTTGATGTCTTTCATTTTAGGGAAATTACTTGGGTCCTTAATTAATTAAACATATTAATTACAAATTAATTAAACAACATTGGACTTGATATCTAATCAATACATATGACATATACGCTTCTCCTATAATCAAAGCAAGACATTTCTTCACATATAAAATAATAAGTTGTTTAAAGATGAAAAGTTGAAGTGGACTCTGTGGAGTTGGACACTTTTTGCCCTCCGCCCCTTCATATTGTTTGGATGTTTGATTGATTAATGTTTTCAAATAGTTCATCATTTTTTGCCTCTAATTATATTTTTAATGTTTATAATTTGAATTATCTTGTGAAAAAAAAAATCAAGTGAAAAATATTCAAATTAAATGGGTTGGTTCTTGGGCCGGAGTATGGCACGAGCACGAGCCCAGACACGGCACGAGCCCGACCCGGCCTGTTTCAATGTGGATATGGGCTTTGGGCCGGGACGGGATCAATGATTTTATTAAATGGGCCAGCACGGAACGGCCCGATAAATTAAATGGGCCGACCGACACAGCACGAAAATGTTAAAAGCACGAGTTTAAATGGGACGAGCCGACCCGGCACGGCCCGTTTGACACCTCTATTTAGAATGGAAGAGCTCCATAGCTTCATCAAGTTCTAACTCCTTCACTTGGTAGGTGAAGTCAACTTTATGAGCAAGAAGCAAATGCTCAACCCTTGTTGGTATGATAATTCTACTGCCGGGCACCAAACCAATCAGAGCTTCAAGCTAAGTATTTTAACGGATCCAATTGATCCACATCATCTATAATTAGGAGAAGTCTTTTGTGGCGCAACCTACTCTTAATGATATTGACTCCTGAATCAACATTTGTGAGACTCGATATTTTCAGCCCGAGACTCTTATTTTGCATTGTATGTCAATGTTTTCTTAAACATTGTGTTCATTTATGTTGTTGGTCATAGCTTACAACTAAATGTCTAACAATTTCAATTTATCTCTTTTTTTTTTTTTTTAAGAATGAATTTTGAATAAAGACTTGGTGCACCCTACAGATGTCCCCAACAATAAAAGTAGACTATCTACCTGTATGTGTAAGTGTAACTAATATATACTCACTGTAACATCGCCAAGTTGGTCCTGTTTTAGAGTATCGGGGCTGATCTCATCTCCTCCAGGAGAGCCTTTGTTGGTTTCGGTTGCTTTTACTCCCTATTGTATGAAAAGCAATTGCATTAATAAATTAATATAAAATAGGTAAAATAATATGGTTATCAAATTGAATAAGACATTCATGTGTGTGTATATACAAATGTATTGTACTTACGTCGACGTGGTCAACTTCAGACTTGTCAGCTTCAGGCCTTTCAAGGCTTCCAACTTCGTTTAGTCCCTATTTTATGGAAAAACAATTGTGAGAAAACTCACTGTCACATCGTTAATACTGGTGAATTAATATATACAACTCACATCTTCTTCATCTTCAAGTAATTTTTCAGCTTCATCTAATATCTATTGTTTGAAAAAGAAATTGCATTAACAAACTAATATATAAAAAAGTCAAAAAGGTTTCTCCAGTCAAATATTGAAAAGACAATACATGTTGTGCGTACCTTGCTTTGCAAGTCATGCTCCTTTTTAGTTATTTTGAGGATTTCTTGAATATTTGAGGCAGGAGCTCTTTTGTACCTTTCTAACATAGAGTGCCATTCATCTATACTTTTCCCACATAAAAGTGAACCCATATCTATGAGGGCAAATGGATTCCCTTGAGCATAGCCTACGACTCTACTTGCGGGTTCTAGATAATCATTCGGAATTCTACTTTTTGGGAAGGCTTTAGAATGGAAGAGCTCCATAGCGTCATCAAGTTCTAACTCCTTCACTTGGTATATGAACTCAATTTTATGAGCAAGAAGCAAATGCTCATCCCTTGTTGATATGATAATTCTACTGCCGGCACCAAACCAATCAGAGCTTCCAGCTAAGTATTTCAACGGATCCAATTGATCCACATCATCAATAATTAGGAGAATCTTTTTGTCGCGCAACCTACTCTTAATGATATTGACTCCTGAATCAACATTTGTGACTCTCGGTATATTCAGCCCGAGAATGGTATAAAGAAGAGTCTTTTGTAGTTGGACTAAGCCTCCTGGTGCCTCAGAAATTTGTCTAACATTTCCCAAAAAGCAGGAAGCTTTAAACTTATGGGCAACTGAATTATAAACAGCTTTAGCAAGTGTTGTCTTACCCATTCCACCAATCCCCCATATACCTACCATGCGAACATCAGCATGTCCAACACCTAAAAGATCATTCATTTCTCGCATGCGAGAGTCTATTCCAACTAGATCGTTCGTCTCATATGTCAAATAGGCACGGTTTAATTGTCGTGAAATCTTTTCAATGATTGCATAAATAAATTTGGATTCATCATACCTGCCAGTTTAAAAACATCTTAATCAATACATGAAATAGAATTTTGCAATATAAATGTTTAAATAAGGCAAAGAACATATAATCCCACAAAAAAATGGAGGATTTGCTCGATTAAAAAGATGACCTACCTATATCTAGAAGGTTACGTTTTTCTCTAAAAAGAAGTTCTTATTAGTTTGTCCATATGGCATTCGTTGATTTTTGCCAACTTTTGAAAGATTGGGACCCCAACAAAAACCAACAAAAAAAAAAAATAAGTTTGGGGGGAGTAGAAATCGGGATAGAGGGGAGGGAGAGAGAGAGTTTAATTTTAATTTTTTATTCATATTTTAATCAATTTTGATACAAAAATACAATTTTGCCTCTGCATTTAACAGAAAAGTTAACAAAACTAACGGCAGGACCATTTGTCCTAATGAAATTGAAGTTGAAGGACCACGGAAACCATTTTGGAAATTGAGGTACTCAAATGCAAATCGGGTCTAAGTTCAAGGACTAATAAAATGATTAACCCTTTGTTTCTTTCTAATAATTACCTTTTTTAATACAAAAATTTATATTTATTTGTAATTGTCTAAGAGAAATTCTAAATTTTTAACTATTTTTTACTTACATGAAAGCCTCATAACCATAAAAGTGGGACGTACATTTTTTCACGTAGGTCTGCATAAAATAAAATAAAAATTCACGTAGGGCAGTCCGATTAATGGAGGGGATGATTTACAGAGTTTATAGATAAGGAGAGAAGTATTTTCATTTAAATTTATCAATAGACAACATATATAGCTAATAAGTCGTTAGAAAAATACCCAAATTTGTTTAATTCCATCCCAGCCAAATCTGCTGCTTTCCTAAGAGCCGTCCTCCATCGCCCCACCTTCTCCAAATCATCCTTGTATTTGTATGCAAGGCCATCAAATGCTTCACCAAAAGTGCTGCTTTGGTGTCTTACATCTGAGGGTTCCACGTCGTAATAAATCGGCAGAACAATTTGCTGCTGTGATTTCGTACATTCAAGGATCTTAGCAAGCTCGTCCAGGCACCTAGTTGAGGAGGCATAGTTTGTAGAGAATATGATGAGAGAAATCCTTGACTTTTCAATTGCATAAAAAATCGCGTCTGATGTATCCGCACCTCCTTGCATTCGAAAGTTATCATCCGTGAAGGTGTAAATTCCCCTTTGTTCCAAACTAGTGAGCAGATGGTCTGTAAAGCTGACGCGTGTATCCGCACCTCTAAAACTAAGAAAGACATCATATATCCATTGATGGGAGGAAGGAGGATCCCATTGATTGGAGGAAGGTAATTCATATCCCCATTGACGGGTGAAAGCAGAATCATATTCCCATTGATGAGAGGAAGGAGAAGAGGAAGAGGCTGCTGGTTCAGTGGTGATATTGTAATCCATATTGTTTGATAATTGGATGCGGCTCTTGCTTAACCTCACATTTGCTCTTGACTGATAAAATCGAAGCAAATGTCAAAAAACTCTGTCAAGAGTTGGGAACTCTATCTCTATATAAAGGGTACTAATCAACTTTCTCATGGCGGCCTCTTGCTTAGTCGTAGTTTCCTGCTACCTGCAGTGAAGCTTCAGTGGAGAGTGTAAATTAAGGACACCATTGTTGAAATAATTATACCTCGCCATGTGAAATAATTATACCGCGTACCGTGTTGAAAATTGGCAACAAACCAAAGAACCATGACTTCTTTTTGTAACAAAAAGAGGAAACGAAGCCCTGTGAGCCTACCTGCAGTGAACCTTCAGTGGAAAGAGAAAATGTCAACCATTGACTTGGCCAAGTTAGCTAGATCAGATATATTCTCATTCTGCACCCAAATTCGAATTTTCCCCGCTTTAGTTTAGATTATATTAAAATAGAATATCGTTTGTATATAAAAAATAAAAACTGTGGAGAAAACGTATTACAATATACCACCAACTCATCCATAAATATTTGAGAGTACTAAAAAATCACTGTGACAAGAAATTTTTCTATGTTGTCACATTCACTCTTACGTTCATTTCTTCTTTTCTTTTTCTTTCAATAATTGTAAAATTTTGTGTGGCAGGATACTATACATGCTTCACCAATTTCATAATTGTTCATTTTCCACCCCCACAAGAATTTATTCTGAGAGGCTGGAATATCAAAATTCAAAATGTGGTCTAATTCAAGATCCCAACTTGTATGAGCCATCATTTATAAAATATATATAAATAAAAAATAAAAATGATATATTAAGCAATTATACTTCAATTCTTGTACAAATCTGCTGCCATTTGGTGATTCACTATATAATAGAGCTACAGGGGATTATGATACCACCCATGGGAATGGGATGGTCAAATCCAAATTCATTTGAAAATATTAATTGTTCAGCTATTGGGTCATCTAATAAATCCTTTAGAATCATGCTCAAGCACACTCTCATATTATAGACCCTAATCCACCGTAGAATACATGAATAAGATTACAAAAAACCATGACCATTGAAAAGGCATATTCAAGGCAAAACAATACCGTTCAAACCGTCGATAGAGTCAACAACCCCAAATACCGTTGAAAAATCATGAATAAGATTACGAAATCATGACCATTGAAAAATCATGAATAAGATTACGAAAAATCATGACCATTGAATACTGAAGGCATATTCAAGGCTCAACCCGTTAGATTGGTGGACGTGTTTGAGACGAAAGTAATTATTGCTTTCAGCTGTTCCAACAACCCCAAATAAAATATCAAAGTATTTAATACGCAATAATTCTCTTTCATAAAACCCAAAACAAAAATCACAAGTCTTTCAGTTTTACACAACAATTCTCATTTCTTATCTCCGATGGACCCAAAATCCTCCTCAACCGAAATATCAGTCGAGTTCCCGACGATCTTCAGAATCTACAAAGACGGCCGTGTCGAAAGACTTAAAGGCACCGAAACCGTCCCGCCCTCCACAGACCTGGAAACCGGGGTCCGATCGAAAGACGTCGTCCTCTCTCCCGAATCCGGACTCTCCGCCCGCATCTTCCTACCCAAACTCCCCGACCCGACCCGGAAGCTCCCCCTCCTTGTTTTCATCCACGGCGGCGCTTTCGTCATCGAGTCCCCCTACTCTCCTCTATACCACAACCACGCCGCTTTGCTAACATCCGAAGCAAACGTCGTTGTCTTGTCTGTGAACTATAGGCGTGCCCCCGAGCACCCACTCCCTGTTGCGTATGAAGACTCATGGGAAGCACTCCAATGGGCCGCGGCCCATTCGAATCGTAATGGGCCCGAAATCTGGCTCAACGATTATGTTGACTTTGACCGTGTTTTCGTGGGCGGGGACAGCGCCGGGGCCACCCTTACGCACCACGTGGTGCATCGGGCCGGAGTCCATGGCCTGAGCGGGGCGAAGATAGTTGGGATGATTTTGTTTCATCCGTTTTTTGGGAACGAAAAGCCCGATAAGCTGCTCGAGGTTGTTTTTCCAGCGTGTAATGGGCTGGAAGACCCGAGAGTGAACCCGGGGAAGGATCCGAAATTGGGGGAGATTGGGTGTGGGAGGGTGTTGATTTTTGTGGCTGAGAAGGACTTTTTGAGGGACAGAGCCTGGGCTTACTATGAGGCATTGAAAAAGAGCGGGTGGGGTGGGATGGTTGAGATTTTGGAGAGTGAAGGGGAGGACCATGTGTTCCATTTGTTCAACCCAAGCTGTGACAAAGCTGTGGGTTTGGTCAAAAAGGTGGTTTGTTTCATAAATCAGGACTAGCTTGGGCTTGTGTTTAGGTGAGTTTGTAATTTCAATGACTTGTGTAATAGAATATGAGCATGTTATATTTGCAAAGCTGAATTAGTAGCACCTTTATTTTTATATGCTGGCTCAACATATTTTTTACACCATATTTGAATGAGTTTAGAGTTTAGGGTTTAAAGATTATGATTACATCATAATGGAATTCATTGAATGCTCAATATTAACATTATCACCAAAAAAATCAAAATCAAAATCAACATTTACTCTTGGTAGTCTCTCCTTCCACTTTCTTGCGGGAAGGTGTTGATATTTTTGGCTGCGGACAACCATCTGAGAGAGGCTGGGCAGATGTATTATGATGACCTGAAAAAGAGTGAGTGGGGCGGGAGTGTTGAGGTGGTGGAGCATGAGGGTGAGTGCCACGTGTTTCACTTGTTCAAACCAGAATGTGAGAAGACTAGAGAGATGGTCAAGAAATTTGGATCCTTCATCAACAAAATAAAAAATAAAGTTGGAACATCTTAATTTCATCCATTTTCTTTGGTGTGTATGATCTCATTCTCATACATGCTACAGAAAGTTAATATGTTTTCATATAATATGATCAACATGCGGTCCAATAATTTCAAGTGTCAGTATATCAATCGACTAAATTATTTGCCTAATAGTGTTTTTCTTTTGAATATTAGAAGAGATCTTAAATTTGAATATCCCTCTTTATATAATAAAATAAGAAATGTCATATGACCTTGACCTAACTTCAAGTGTAATAAGTAATTCTATTAATAGTTGAAGATTTCTGATCAATTCATGAATCTTTTAACTAAGATTCTGCTCTTGTTTTCTATCGTTACAATTGGGTTGTAGATTAATTAGTTTTGTTATCCATTGTACGCATCTTATAATATTTGTTCAATACAATATATTTTCCGACAAAAAGAAAAAAAAATTATGATCAAGCTTGAACAACACATTCATCATATCATTACTTATGGCTTTTGAACTTCATATAGTATCCAATTACATAAAATTATGAACAATGAAGAATTCATACACAAAATACACAAATGAAATAGCAAGTAACATAACAATGAATGCCATTTAACATTAGACCAAACCCACGTGTAACATAACATTTGAGAAAGAAAAAAAAAATCATTAATTTGTTTCATGAAAAAGTGCCTTTAATTAGACCTTCCTCTAGCTCCTGTATACAGACTGTTACTCATCTTCATTGGCAAGCACCTATGCTTGGAACTTGCAAGGTCAACACTGATGGGAGTCGAAATAATACTACTGGAGTGATTGGTGCTGGTGGATTATTAAGAGATGCTAATGGTGCTTGGCTCAAGGGATTTACTGGAAAATTGGGAGTGGGTTCTATCCTTGAGGCAAAATTATGGGGCATTTTCTGGGGGCTCTCTTTAGCTTGGGATGCTGGGATTCGGGTTGTGGAGATTGAGTGTGATTCCAGTGTTGCTGTGGACTTAATTAATAACCAGACTGGAGCCAACCATCCTCTCTCTAACATCATCAATTGTTGCAAACTAAAGATTCATGGTGATTGGAACTGTGTTGTCCATCATATCTACTGTGAGATGAATACTGCTGCGGATGCCTTGGCTGCAATGTGTGCTGATTTGGCTCCTGGCATTCAAATTCTTGATCTGCCTCCGACGTCTCTTATTGACACTCTGGCTGCTGATGCCACTGGCACCTCCAGACCACGCCTTCTTCTTTTGTAGTCTCTCTGTTGTTGGGCTTTTGCCACTCCTTTTTACCCCCAAAAAAAAAAAAGTGCCTTTATTAAAGTTTAAAATAATCAATTACGCACGACCAAAAGAAGGACCAAAAGAAAAGGTCGGTCCACTCACTTTGTTTTCTTTTTAAGTTTCTGCTTTTTCTTCCTTAGATCAAAATCCACGCTAAATTGTCTTAGTCTCTGCTCCACCATCTTCTCCCTCCCACTCTCTCAAATTCCTCTCATCTCTGAAAATGGAGCCAACCAGCAATGAAATCGATCGTGAATTTCGATTTTTCAGGACATACAAAAATGGTCACGTCGAAAAGTTCTACACAACCCACAGAATCCCACCTTCTAACGACCCCATCACTGGGGTCCAATCCAAAGACATCATAATCTCATCCGAACCCGCTATTTCCGCCCGTATCTTCCTACCCAAGATCCATGACCCGACCCGGAAACTCTCCGTCCTCTTCTACATCCACGGCGGCGGGTTTTGCTTCGAGTCCGCATTCTCCCCGCTCTACCACAACCACGTTGCCTCACTGGTCACTGAAGCCCGAGTTGTTGCGGTCTCTATCGAATACGGGTTGTATCCGGATCGACCCATACCCGCTTGCTACGAAGATTCATGGGCCGCTCTCAAATGGGTCGTGTCCCATTCGGCCAGGAATGGACCTGAGCCATGGTTGAATGAGTACGCTGACTTTGACCGGCTTTTTATAAGTGGGGACAGCGCTGGAGCGAACATATCGCACCATTTGGCGGTTCGGGTCGGGCCTGATGGGTTATCGGGTGTGAAAGTTAACGGGATTGTTCTGGTGCATCCGTTCTTTGGGGGTTTGGAGGAGGATGATGAAATGTGGCTTTACATGTGTCCGGAGAACGGTGGGTTGCAGGATCGTAGACTGAAACCGCCCGCGGAGGATCTGGCAGGGATTGGGTGTGGGAGGGTGTTGATATTTTTTGCTGCTGAAGACCATCTGAGGGAGGTGGGCCAGTGGTACTATGATGAGCTGGCGAAGAGTAAGTGGGGTGGGAGTGTTGAGGTGGTGGAGCATGAAGGTGAGAGCCACGTGTTTCATCTGATGAAGCCTGATTGCGAGACGGCTACAAATTTGATCAAGAAATTTGATTCCTTTATTAACCAAAAGTAGGCAGGTAAAAGAAACAAGTTGAAATTTTCAACATGCATTGTAAGTTGTAATCACATCCATTTACTTTACCTTGCTTGCTTGCTATAATGCTGTCTCTGATTCTCATACATGCTTTGTTCACTAACCAGGAACAACTATAATGTGAACTTTGGAGATAAATTTAAGAAAAATCAGACTTTACTCGAGTATTATTCAATTTTGTTTGATTAGTATGCCTAGATTCTGAACACGACACGATTACTAAATAGATTCGATTAACACGGTTGAGTAACGAAATTCGATTACTAACATGAGTTTTTAATGACAATCCATTTATAATTTTTGTACATGACTTATTTCAGTGATACCATGTGCAAACTAAAGTAATAATTCAGTGACATTGAAGTGGTCCTTGGGACCAATCAAAGTATATGGTCCCCTTGATTATTTCCGTAAATTTTGTCGGAAATTTTGGCTTTCTTCTAAGATGATTTTCATAGGACCAGATATCTCAAGTTTTGGCTCTTGTCTCAGCCAATCAATTGCACGCTTTGTTTGTATTCTTCTCTGCCCTTTTGGGGGATTCCAATGAATTGAAACTTCGACCAAACAAAAATAATTGCAATAATAAAAAATTATGGAAAGCGGATGCCAGGGACAACCATATAATTCTAAGATTTTTATCCATGTAAAGACAATGTGGGTTCTTTTTGAGAAATTATTTAATGTATCAGTACACTCGTAATATCCTATGACATATTAATGTGGTAGTACACCCGTAACATCCCGTGACATACTAATGTGGTGTTAAACATACGTCGGATGTAAAAATGCGAGTCGAGACAATTCACTATAAACTTAGGATGATGGACTGAAGTTGGCTTATCTCATGTTATTCTGGATTATTATTTAGTTTATTTGTAACAAGTCCAGTCATTTTTCAGACCATAAAAAACATGGGTTCAACCAACCAATTGTCAAATCCAATCTGTAGAAGTCCAATATAAAGCCAAAATTGTTACATTTCCAAACTATAAAGGAACCTCTGATGTAAATTTCCATAGCCACAGAAGACATTTTCACTGGCTAGCAGAAAAATCTAGATGCTGGAGATATTGTTGTGACCTTTTATCATTTGCTGGTTGGTTGGAATGGAGAGATCGATGGCAACATGTTGTGTCCTAACCCCGTCTTTATGGCCAAAACCAAAAAGTCCCACATGCATTGGGAACCTCAAATTGAATCTGCCCTCTTCATTGTTCACACATCTCTCTCTTCCACACAGAAAGTCCTGCAATATCCGCTTGTACTCATCCTCCTCTACCTCCATGGATACAAGCTTGAGCAATGAAGTAGCCAAAGACTTCTCTCCCTTCCTCAAAATATACAAAGATGGTAGAGTGGAGAGACTTTCAGGCATTGATATTGTTCCCACCTCGCTCGATCCACAAACCGGTGTTGAATCCAAAGACGCCGTGATCTCACCTGACACCGGGGTATCAGCCAGGCTCTACATCCCCAAAACCAAAATCACCACAAACCCAACAAAGCTTCCTCTCCTTGTGTACTTTCATGGAGGTGGCTTTTGCATGGGGTCACCTTTTTGTGCCTATTACCATAGCTATCTGACATCTTTAGTTGCTGAGACAAATGTTGTTGCTGTGTCTGTTGATTATAGGAAGGCCCCAGAGAACCCTCTGCCTCTAGGGTTGGATGATTCATGGGCTGCTCTCAATTGGGTTCAATCTCATTTTGAAGGGCAAGGCCCTGAAGAGTGGCTCAATTCATATGCTGATTTTGAAAGAGTGTTTTTTGCTGGTGACAGTGCTGGGGCAAACATTGCTCATCACATGGCCTTGAGATTGGGGCATGAAGGTTTGGTTGGTGTGAAGCTTAAAGGGATTGCTTTGGTGCATCCATATTTTTGGGGGTCAGAACCAATTGAAGGGGAGACTCATGTGGTTGAAGCGAGAGCAAGGGCAGAGGGTATATGGAGATTTGCTTGTCCAAGTACTAGTGGAGCCGATGACCCACTTATAAACCCGGGTAAGGATCCGAAACTGGCGAAATTGGGGGCTGATAGGGTCTTGGTTTGTGTGGCTGAGCAGGATGTGCTGAGGCAAAGAGGGTGGTATTATAGTGAGTTGTTGAAGAAAAGTGAGTGGGGTGGGGCTGTGGAGGTTGTGGAGGCAAAAGAGGAGGATCATGTGTTCCATTTGAACAACCCAACTGGAGAGAATGCTGTGGCTCTGCTCAAGAAGATTGCTTCCTTCATCAATCAGGATATATAAATGCCTGAAATTGGGTTCTCTGTTTCTAAATTGATGGTAATCTCAATAAGTCTTTAGTTCTATTATAAGCAAGCATTCAACTTGAACTTGCTGTATTCATCAATTCATGCCCTGTAATTCAGAGTGATCAAACCCAATGTTTATATTGGGATCCCAATCTTGATTCATTGGGAATTTGGTACTATAATATGTACGTTTCTGTGTTTTTTTTCAAGGTTTAGAAATAAAATAGGGAAGATGATGAAAAAGTACTCAAAATGCAGGAGAACGACTTGTATGACAAAATTGGACTTTTCGAAATAGTCTTCATTTAATTTGATTTGAAGTGAGTTGATGCATGATTTGTGGAAAATTAGTTTGTGTTTTAGATTTAGTAAACAATCATTAATCCCATCCATCCTCAAGGCAGTTTGCTTTATTTGACGAAGAAACATAGAACATAGTAGCAGTACAAGGCATAAAACAGATGAAGAAAAGAAGAAGCTGATAGAAATTACAACAATGGAAAAAATAAAACTAATTAATAAAAGAAACCATTTTTTTTAACAAGGCCACAGCATTGTCACAAGTGGGATTGAACAAATGGAACACATGGTTCTCCCCCTTTGATTCAATCACATCCACAGCCCCTTTCCATCCACTCTTCTTTAGTACCTCACTATAATGCCATCCCCTATCTTTCAAAGCATCTTTCTCAGCAACACAAACCAGCACTTTCTCACACCCCAATCCCCCGAGTTTCGGATCCTTGCCTGGGTTGAAAAGCGGGTCATCGGATCCACTAGTCGAAGGGTAAGCCAAACGCCACAAACCAACCATGTACTCTCTTACCACTGGGGGCAGAGCTTGCTCTGCCCCAATGGCTTCACTGCCCCAAAAATATGGATGCACCAACACAATCCCTTTTGGCTTAACACCACCCAACCCCTCAGAGCCTACTCTCAAGCCCACGTTGTGTGCTATGTTAGCCCCGGCACTGTCCCCAGCAATAAACACACGTTGGAAATCTACATGGCGATTTAGCCAATCTTCAGAGCCCTTTCCATCAGAATGGGAAGCAACCCATTTGAGAGAACCCCATGCATCATCGTAAGCGGCAGGCAGAGAGTGCTCTGGGGCTAGCCTATACTCAACAGAGACAGCAACAATGTTGGTCTCCGCGACTAAGGCGTTAAGGTAGTTGTGGTAAATGGGAGAAGAGGCGTGTTCGACCACGAAGCCGCCTCCATGGATGTAAACAAGAAGAGGGAGCTTTTTGTTGGGGAAGTTGGTGGTGGATTTTGTGGGGAGGTAAAGCCTGACAGATAATGCTGGTTCTTTTGAGATCACAACGTCTTTCGATTCGACGCGGGTTTGGGGATCTAAGGATGGAGGAAGGGTTGTTGTGCCTGTGAGCCGCTCAATTCGACCATCTTTGTATATTTTGATGAGAGGAGAAAAGTCATGAGCTAGTTCATTGCTCATGCTTGGATTCAATGAAGACAAGTTTATTTACTTAATGAAAATTACAAAATAATAAAAATGAGAAGAGAATACGAAACACAAGTATGGAGATTGGAAAGGGTTTCTCTTTCTAATGCAGAGAGTAAAAAAAAATTGTGTGGAGAATTCAATTTTGCTCACCACCTTATGGTGTTGCATTACAAATCGCACTCAATGTGGAGAAATTTTTGAGTGTTACGTGTCACATTATAATTAATTAGAATTAATCGTAATTAAATGTGTGGTTATGTAAGGCATGACTCCATTATTTTTAGGTAACAAGGGAGCTGAAGCCCCAAAAATAGGAAAATGAGAACTTAAAAATAGGGTGTTTCTTTCATAATAATTTGGGACTAGTGTCACTCAAATACGTAGGGGATAGGGAGGAGATAGGCAAATCGGAACAGAAGATCTCAACTCGTTATAAGACTTTAAATATCCTATTGATTTCTTTTCTTTTCAATTTTTTCTTATAAACATAGTATAGTAACAAACCAACAATCTTCCCAAATCAACAAAAAATCATATATGAAGTACATTCTTATTTCCTTACAAAATGTAAAACACTCTTGTGTTGGCATATGAAGTGACACACAAGTATCCTCCTAACTTACAGAATGGTAAACACTCTGCAGGGAAACATTATTTACAAAACTAGAGGGTACTTGCACAAAACAAATAAGAAAGAGGTGAAGCCACCAGTTATATACACCTGATTACACCGAAGATGTTTTCGCTTTGGAGACTATGGAAATCAAGATTGATGCAAGAAGGAAACAATCTTCTCAAGCATGGCCTCAGAATTCTTATTAGAGGGATTGAACAAATGGAATACATGGCCCTCCCCCTTTGTTTCAATGACCTCCACAACCCCTTTCCATCCACTCTTTTTTAGTACGTCACCATAGTACAATCCCCTATCTTTCAACGCATCTTTCCCAGCAACAAAAACCAGAACTTTCCCACACCCCAACTCCCTCAATTTCGGATCCATAGCCGGGTTGAAAAGCGGGTCATCGGGTCCAAAACTCGAAGGGTTCACAAAACGCCACAACGCAGTCATATACAAGCTCACAACTACAGGCAGAGTTGCCTCTGCCCCAACTGGCTGTGACCCCCAAAAAAATGGATGCACCAACACAATTCCATTCAGCTTAAAACCATTCAATCTCTCGGAGCCTAATGTCAGAGCCATCTGGTGTGCTATATTAGCCCCAGCGCTGTCACCAGAGAAAAACACACGCTGTGGATCTGCATATCTACTAAGCCACTCCTCGGAGCGGTTTCCACCATCAAAATGAGAAGAAACCCAATTGAGAGCAGCCCATGAATCTTGGTAAGCAATAGGCAGAGGGTGCTCTGGGGCTAGTCTGTAGTCAACAGAGACAGCAACAACGTTGGCCGCGGCGACTAGGGAGTTGAGGTAGTTGTGATATGTGGGAGAAGAGGCATGTTCAACACAGAAGCCACCTCCATGAAAGTAAACAAGAAGAGGGAGTTTACCTTGGGTTGAGTTGGTGGTGGAGTTGGTGATGGTGTTGGGGAGGTAAAGCCTTGCAGATATGCCCCTTTTTCGAGAGATTGCAACGTCTTTAGATTGAACGCCAGTTTTAGGATCAAGCGATGGAGGAACGCTTGATTTTCCTATGAGCCTCTCGATCGTCCCGTTTACATATATTTTCATGAGAGGAGAGAAATCAAAGGCAACGGCATGGCTCATGGGAGGAGATAAATCAAGGGCAACGCCCTGGCTCATGGTTGGAGCCATGGAAGAGAAGAGAACAATGAACACAATTATGGATAACATTGTAGGCATTTTTCTTTCTTGGCATGCATCTATTGGCAACATTAAGGGAAAACAATCTCTGTCATATATATAGATTTTAAGAATTTGTTGTATATATTAATAAAAGCTAATTTTACTCACTATCTTTAAATACCATGTAGTATTATCCTCCCACTTTGCGGATGGAGCAAGATGATGGACTCTCCTCCGACCCCTTTTTTGGTTGAGTCTCCTCCGACCCCTTTTTTGGTTGAGTCTCCTCCGACCCCTTTTTTGGTTGAGTCTCCTCCGACCCCTTTTTTGGTTGAGTCTCCTCCGACCCCTTTTTTGGTTGAGTCTCCTCCGACCCCTTTTTTGGTTGAGTCTCCTCCGACTGTTGGTTTTGAAATATCTTACTTTTATGATGACCCACCGAGTGAGATTTTAGACCTCAGTTTATCTTCTTCCCCCTTACAATTTGTGCCTGGACCACATAACTATAATTATACCCCAGAGTCTTGTACCAAGCTGCATGACTATACATCAATTCCAGACATATCATCAACCTTTGCAATGAAGAAAATTATGAAGTTGCATTGGTACAAACCTTCATGTCGACATTGCGAAGAGATGGGCAAGGCATGTAGATCAAAGATTAGTGAATATAGTCTTGCACATGTTCAGATATATGTAAAATCAAATCTGCTGTAATTTCCAATCGCTTATTTTCTTAGTCTCTTTCATGTCTTGTACCACGTAACTTATTTTGTTGCGTTGTGTCTTTCTTGGTTACATGAAACTGTTTTAGGGGAGGACGGAATATGTTGAAGCATTTGACACTTGAAAGAGTTATTTACAAAACTCGTTTAGGTTTCAGAAATTGTACGAACACCCCCTTAGATTTCAAATTGTTTTCACAAAACCCCTTATCGTTATTGTTCGTCCAAAAACTAAGGATTCATTAAAAAAAATCTTAAGCAAATGACAAATTTAACCTCAATGAATAAAAGATTTCCCATAACTTGCCACATAATAAAAGAGAGAACAAAAACAACCTTTGAGAATAGTTGAAAAGGAAGTAAAGGTTTTCTCTGTACGAATGGGTGGCGTATCAAGTTTTTCTTGCTCATCTCAATTCTCATATGTTTGGCACAATATGTATCACACCTAAGATCAGAGAATACAATTCGTCTCTTTTCTCAAATAAGAAAACAAGGTATATAAAAGCATATTGATAAAAATTGGAAGTAAAAAAATAAGGGTGCTAGAAGGAATCATAGGATCTATCTAGGCCAAAGACAAATTACTAAAGTAGTGCAGTTTGAGCCTTGAATCACTGAGTTCTTTAGTATAGATATATACAATTTTTTTGATATTGTTGATCTTGTTGCCATTGTTGTTTGGGTTCTTGAAATACAGAGAGCCAATGCGAAGAAGAAGAACTTGATTTGGTTAAACTGAATGCGTATTTCCTATATTATTTCATGTTTTTCTTTTATCTTTTAAGATAATGTGTTGTCAATGAAACCCCATTTCCGAACATAGAGATTTTGTGTTTGAGTAGCAAACTAAAACTAAAACTTGACAGTGCAGAAATTCCAAACATATCACAAGGTTGACTACCCACAACGTATCTCCGAAGATTATTTATCGTATGATCACACTACTGTTGCATATCGTTTGGGGTTATGTTGCTCGATACAAGTTATGGTTGGGGTGTCACAATAATTTACAACTTAAAAATTGGTAATTACTACTAAGGGAGATGTCAAGGGAGATGTCAAATACCAAACATCAAATTTAAATTTGATGGCTGATGTGGCAATTTGACATCCTGCATAGTTTTACTCCCCACCGATATGTCAAATTAAAATATTATTTTATTACATTAATGTTGATTTATTTATTACTTTCTTAAATGAATGTATTTTTATATTTTAGTATTAAGAGTAATTCATTAATCAAGTTAAAATACTTATAAATTAATTATAAAATGTACATAAATATAATTAAACAAAAAAAATCATCCATCTCCACGTTGGTTGATGAAAAGAACATAAAAAAGATCAACATAAATTTTCAACAGTAAAAAATTCAATAATATAGTGGTGTCAAGTGACGATAACAAAGGAAAAGAATTAAAAAGAAAAATAATAATGAAAGCATATAATGACAGCAGATACATGAAATAACAACAACAAGAAAAAAAAAGATAAGTATTAAATGAAATGATAAAGCCACAACCAGATGGGCAAAGAAATAATAAATTAATCAAAAGAGGTCTCTAGCACTTGACGGCAATTTTGACAGCAGAGGTTGGAGTAAATTTCAGCTGTTATTTTTATCCGTTAAAAGCGCCACATAGGATTTGACATCTCCTTTGGAGATGCTCTAATCACTTAGAGTTTTTATCAAAAATAGCCAAAATTTACCCCCCACTTTCAAAAATGTCAGTTTTTATAAAATCTTTCAGATATAACCAAAAACTCACATAAATAGACACAAATGCCCTTAAAAATTAAAATCCACATAAACCTAAAAAGCAAAACCCTACTACACAAATTTTGGATTCACACGCACGTCTGTATCCTTTGGTCGAACTACTGTTGAGCACGAACGTCTGTATCCTTGGTCTGAAGCAATTCCAACACTCCCAAATTCAACTTACTGATCTGTAATCCATGTAATCCCAGGTTTGTTTTTCTTTTTTTTTTTGGTTACATTGGAGGAAAGAAACCCCACTGGGGTTCGATCCTGGGTGCCATGGGGGGAAGGGGGAATCCACCACCACTGGTTTAATTCCATCTTTGTTTTAATTCCATGGTTTTTTTATTGGCCACTTGAAATAGTTTATTCAACTTATTAATTTTGTTTGTTGGATTTGATTTGAAGATAAAGAACTTATTAATTGTATTTCTTTTTCGATTTGGATGAATAAAATATTTTCAATTTGGGTATGCTGGGATCATTGTAAGTTGAATTAGGGAGTGTTGAGGCTATACAGATGTGTTGCCCATTGGGATTGGCAAGAGAGTAGAAAGTACTTTACAATGATCCAGGCAAATCCAACCCCTAGCAAAAATAATTGGAAATTTCCTCTCTGTAAATCGGTTTCTTGTGTTTCGTGGGTGTTGTGAGTGTTTCTCCTATGGTAGACCCAAATTGCACATGATTACTGATTTGCTATTCTGACAGCAAAATATACAAATCATATATATTTGTTATTCTGACA